AGGAAAGCGGCATTGGCGTGTGTGCGTGTCTGTACAGATGTATGTATGTATATGAGAAGCTTCTTTTACGTATATATTTTGTTATAATATGCCACAGCTATATCAGTTTCGTTCCATGTAATCAATCAAGAATAGATTTATACATATTTCAAAGTCAAGATCATATCTATAAAACGTTTCCTTATATTTCGTATTTCTATTTTAAAATGAAAATAAAATTGATTGAAGTCAGAGTAAAATTGAAAGTTTAACTGCAATTGATTGGAGCTTAGAGAAGATGCTTCAGAATAAACTTTTTTCAGTCACTTTGTTGTTACTTTGTTTGTCCCTTTTTAGCCATGGCAAGAGAGTGCTTCTCTTTAAGGTGGCTGTGGGGGAGGGCATGTCAACTGTCAACTCCATTTTATACAGTTTTAAATGGAGGGCGAAAAATTGGTGAGGCAAATTGAACAGCATTTATCAGCTGTCAGCAGTTTAAGTTGATGAAACAGGCAGCCCAGGCTGGCCCCGGTTGCAGAGCCGGCAGAAAACGCAGACAGCGAGCCAGGCAACCAACCACCCGGCCAAACGATTCCCCAGTGTACCTTAATATCCTGCAACTAGTGTGACGTATTGTGATATTTTATAGACTCGCGAAATGTATATCAGTATATTTTCAGTATGTATTCGCAGTATCTAGAGTACAGCCAATCTCTTAGTCGTTCATCGCCCATCTAAGCTCGTTTACTTGCTTTTTTGTGGCGCTTCAATTGACAGGCGCCTCAATTATATGTACATAAGTATCAAAGTAGGGGCGGGTGCGGGGGCACCGCCGCATTTTAATTTCGATTTCATAAAGTTTTTCATTCAGCGCCGGGGACATAAATTGTGAGCAGTGCCTCGGCTAATGGGAGCCGGATGTGTCCTCTGCGCCAGGCATTAGCTCCGCAGTTATTACTTGTGTGTATTTCCCCAATGTTGTTTTCTCGTTTTGCCTTTTCTCTATTTACTGTTCTGATTATGATGCCATTTTTGACAGTCGATAAGGTCAATAAATAAAATGGATGCAGGGCATTGCGTGTGGTCATTTTGTTGCTGATATGCTGAACGGCATTTTAATTGGGGAGCCAACAAATTGATTGGGCTCCATGTTGCTTGTGCATTCGATTTTTAAATCATTTTTCACATGCATTTTTTTTCTTTCTATTTGCAGCATATCAAACAAGTGCCCCAAGTCATCAGCCGTGGTAAGTTATGAGTTTTATTATTTTTAATAGGTTTTTTAATTATTAAAGCGGAATTTGCTGTTCGTTAATTAAAATTCAATTAACGTACATACTGAAAACATTCTTTAATGTCTGAAAATCTAGGCTGACAAGACTTTTTTGAAATTGTCAGTTGACATTATTGATATTACGCTCCTGAATTAATTTTTCAGTGTGTCGTATCAGTTAGCGACATTCTTTACTGATTAAAATTAATAAAGAATATTTAATAGCACATAAAATCCAATTCAATAAACGATTTAATTTGTCCAATATGTATATAAAATTACTACCTATGGTATAAATTAAAAATTAATTATTATTAATTATATTTATAAACGTATATTATATTGTTATAAATAACCGCTTTTCTTTGTAAATAATGTATAATTATGGAGACTTGTAAATGACTTGTATATAAAATACTAAAATATATACCATATATTTCTACGACGTATGAAGGGGCACAAGTAACTTTCCTTAACTTTAAAAACTAAGGTATAATTTTAAGGATTAATTGAGAGTTTCATATCCATGACTAGGCAAAATATATTCCTGAGCATTTTGGGCCGTGTATTCAGCAGTCGGTTAAGACTCATTTAAAACTTCTTACTTTTATATATTAATACTTTATATACAAATGTATACAAACATATACATCTCTTTTTTTTTAATTTTTTTTTTTTTTTTTTTTTTTTTTTTTTTTTTTTTTTTTTTTTTTGTGTGCCCCATTTAAAATGTAGTTTGTTGAACTTTCGCTGTGCAATTTGTATTACTAATGCCAATGGCAAACAAAGAGCTGCGGAGCATAGCCAGCTTTCGGCTCGAAGCTCGAGCCAATGAGTCGAATGATTTGGCCAATTGAAATGCTGCAGCAGTTGCCGCCAGATGCTAGCAATAATTCACTTTTGGATAGCTAAGCAGCGGGCAGGAAGGAAGGCATGTGGAATTGCGAATAGGACCTACAGCAATGGATTAAATATGCAATCCGAGTCCGAGTCCCAGTTGTAGTCCTAGTCCGAGCAGAGCAAATGAAAGAGGCTGAGTCATGACTTTAGCAACAGCTGGAGAATAGCTCTAATTTCAAGTTGAATGTAGGATGTCAACAGCAACGGCTGCTGCTACTACAACTGCAAAGACTTGCCTCAAATGCGCTCATGTGTAAGAATGGCATTGTTTTGTATTTGGCCGTAAACAAAGCGGCGAACCGAACGGAACACAAGAAAAACTTCTTTCCTGTTGTTAAAAACTAGGTAAACAGGTAAAAATCTGCCATCAAGTGAATAGCTGCAACAAAACATCTCTCAACACTTGGCGCACACTTTTAGCAGCAGAAGGAA